GATGGACGAAAGTTTAGTACGTTTTCACCGGAATCGAAGGAGATCGCCTCGGAAACAACGTCAGCATGAATGTTCCAGTAAAGCAAATCGACAGCTGGTCAAGAGGAAGCCGCCGTCGTCTTCTGGTGCAACCGACCTTCGAATCTCTTCACCCAACACTTACACCCGAGATGGAAGTAAGCTCAACCAAATTAGAGTTAGACCGACACTGGCCTGCGGAATTGTGTGCAGCGGACTCAACTTACACAAAAGGTGGCTTTCCGTCAATTTCCACATCCTCCTAGTCTTGAGAAGTTGGTATCGGATTCAGCCTGAATCGGGTTTAAAGACCGAGAAATGCATGTTCACAGCTCCACGTCTCTTGTAGAAGCGGATTATGGGGTTTTTACTATGAAAGAACTGAGTCGAAATTGAGCGACTCTTGTTGAATGACGATTTGGCAGCAGTGGTTAATTCGAGATGGGCCATCATAGTTTTTGACCTGTCCACAATGTATTGAAAACTGTTTTCTCTCATTATGCCATGCATTTTAAAGGGCCGTTCTTACACAGGCTGGGCCACGGCCTTGGCTTCGCTTAGGACCCTAGCAACCTGAGCTAGGGGCTGGTGTAGGATGAGAGAAAAGACAAATGTATCCTAATAGACACGCATGATATAGATGCCCGAAGGAAGCCCAATTGTATTTTCCATTAAACCCAATACCACTGGGATACTGACAATATGGCTCGACCAATTTCGAGCCATCAATCCTAAACGCGCTTTGTGGCAATCTCCATTCTGGGCATTGACTATGAGCAGGCATCTAATGTAAATGATGATGGTAACTTTCATTTCTACGAAGAAAAGTTGGGTTTCGAGGAATCTCTTGTTTTATACTTGTTGAGCTTACTTCCATTTCGAGTGGAAGTATTGGGTGAAGAGATTCGAAGGTCGGTTCCTCCAGAAGACGACAGCGGATTCCTCTTGACCAGCTGTCGATTGGCTTTACTGGAAGATTTATGCTGACGCTGTTTCCGAGGTAACCTCCTTCGATTCCGATGAGGTGCTAAGCTTTCGTGCGTCATATGATGGACATCATCACAGCGAGGTAACATCGTTACAACAAAATTCAAGCTAACGGGTCCGTCGTATGACGGACGAAAGCTTAGCACCTTTTCACCGGAATCGAAGGAGATTGCCTCGGCAACAGCGTCAGCAT